AAAAAAAAAAAAAAAAGAGGTTATTAACAGTTATAACTCAATAAAGCTATTTTTAATGTTAAAATAAAGACTACCAAATGAGAACAAGCAAAGGCTATTCAGAGCAAGAGAGTTGTTTGCATTTGGCAGAGACTCTAAGGCAGAGGAGTTAGTTGGAAAGCTTTATAGTGGAAAGAAGGGAAAGGCTTCAGGTATGCCCTATTTGGAGGCTGTTGGCAGGGGAAGCCATAGGCAGGCTAACTAGAAGCGGGGCATCCTATGTGATTGGTTGGAGGTACATATTTGGCTTTCTCTGGTTGATCTTAAATTGGAAGTGGGGACAAACCTTCCCCAAATCCTAGGGTTTGATTAATACCCTCATTACAGACCAGTGGTTTCTTGTTTTGTTTTTTATTTGTGATTAACACATAATGTACATATTTATGGGGTACAGTGTGATGTTTCAATACATGTATAAATTGTGTGATGATCAAATCAGGGTGATTTGCATGTCCATCACCTTAAACATTTGTAATTTATTCACGAAATTTTTTTTTTAGCTATTTTGAAATATACAGTACATTATTGTTAACTGTAGTCATCCTACTATGAAATAGAACACCAGAATTTATTCCTTCTATCTAATCGTAGCTTTGTATGTGTTGACCAATCACTCACCGTCTCCCCTCCCTCCACATGCTCTGGTAACTACTGTTCTACTGTCTACTTCTATCAGAACAACATTTTAGATACTGCATGAATGAGGTCATGCAGTATGTTTTTTCTGTGCCTGGCTTATTTCACTTAACATAATGGCCTCTAAGTTCATCCATGTTGCTGCAGATGACAGGATTTCATTCTTTTTTATGGCTGGGTTGTATTCTATTGTGTATTTTTCCACATTTTCTTTATGTATTCATCTGTCATTGGACATTTAGGTTGATTACATATTTTGGCTATTGTGAATCGGGCCAGTTGTTATAGTGGTTATTGTTTGGCTTCCTTGTTTATTACTGTAGATAGTAGGCTGGCCCCCTGGGCTGGTTGCTCCAGGTCGTAGGTCAGAGTTCTATTTTTATAGATACAGTCCAGCCATTGTCTGTTTAGTATATTCAGTCTCTCATTAAAAAAAAAAAAAAAGATTTCATAAGAATTACAAGCCACATCTGGGAGGAGATATTTGCAGTATGTATATCCAACAAAGTACTTGTATCCAGAATAAATTTTTAAAACTACGATGTAATAAGAAAAGGAAAACCCAATTGTAAAAGTGGACAAAAGGCTTGAACTGGCATGTCACAAAAGAGGATATCCAAATAGCTAATAAGCATGTGAAAAAGTGCTAATAGGGGAAATGCAATCATCAGGGAAATGCAGAACAGATGAGATACTCCCACATCTCCACCAGAATTGCTAAAATTAAAAAATAAGCATTACCAAGTGGTGGTATAGATTTGGAGCAACTGGAGTTCTCAAGCACTGCTGGTGGGAATGTAAATTGGTAGAGATACTTCAGAACTATTTGGCAGTGTCTCTTAAAGCTAAACATATGTGCTGTATACTCTGTGACCCAACATTGACACTCTTGGCTTTACCTCTGATAATAATGAAAGTTTACATCCACTAAACGACAAGTACAAAAATAAGGTAACTAAAAGCAGGAAACAACCCAAATGTTTATCAAGAGTAGAATTTATTTTTAAAATTTTGTTATATTCATGAAATAGAGTACTACAACGCAATGAAAAAGAATGAACTACTGCTACAGGCAGCAATATAGATGAACCTCACAGGCATAGTGTTGAATTAAAGCCACACACATGAGTTAACAGTATTTGATTACATTTATAAGATTCAAAGCAGGCAAAACTAATCTATGGTGATAGAGGTCAGAGTAATACTTACCTTTTGGTGGATTTATTGACTGAGGAGGATGTAAGGGAGCCTTCTGGAATATTGGAAATGTATCTCCCTATCTGGATTGTGGATATATAGGTATATACATATAAAAAAAATTTTTTTGAGACAGTCTTCTGTCTCCTGGGCTAGAGTGCACTGTCATCATCCTAGCTCACTACAACCTCAAACTCCTGTTCTCCTAGCGATCCTCCTGCCTCAACCTCTGAAGTATCTGCGCCACCGCACCTGGCTAATTTTTCTATTTTTTGTAGAGATGTGGTCTCGCTTTTGCTCAGACTGGTCTCCAACTCCTGGCCACAAGCAATCCTCCTGCCTCAGCCTCCCAAAGTGCTGGGATTACAGGCCTGAGCCACTGCGCCTGGCCGAAAATACTTATTGAGTTGTACACTCAAGATTTGTGCATTTTACTACATGTAAGTTATACCTCAATAAAAATGTCTTCATGACATTAAAAAAAATTTTTTTAACGTATTTCCTGTTTCAGCTCTCAGTCTTGTCAATAGATTCTCTCCTTTTGTTTATACCTTCCCTAAAACCATCTCCCCCACTGGCTTCCCTGTCTTTTATTAAATGAAACCCTTGTAAATTTGCTTCTCAATTACCCAGGTTTAAAACCTTGGAACTCCTTTATCCCCTTTCTGCAGTCAGTCCGTAAATACTATCAGCTCTTCCTTTAAAATATCTCACATCCGTATTGTTTCCAAATCATTTCTGTGCTAGAGTTTTAGCCTTGACCAGAAGCCTAAATTACTGCCAAGGACCTAACTGGTTTTCCGGTTTCTCATCTCAAAACTCTCATCTCAAAACTGTTCTACATTATGCCAGCAAAGCTAGCTTTCTAAAGCACCATTTCATGACATTACCACTCTGTTACTTCCCCTCCTCCCCTCCGCCTTGAGCAGCTCCCATCTCTGGCACAATAGGTGCAGATCAGGATGCTAGCACCGTATTCAAGACACTCATGGTCTGGCCCCAACCAGCTGTACTACTTCCCTGTACATTCACAGTGAATACTGCATATTTCTAAGCCCATTTTGCTCTCTATTGCATATACCTCTTTGCTCTTGCTCTTCTCTCCCTAAATACATTCTTCATATCAGCCCATCTCAAATCATTTCAGCATGGTGAGAGGGCATTTATGATGTGCTTCATGGAATCCATGAAATGCGCTGAAATTAAATACAGACATTCCTACATAGGTGCATTTTTCTGGAGAAAGGGCTTCTCTTGTCAATAGATTCTCAAAAGGGATCCATAACCCCCAAAAGTTAAATTGATTGAGTGGCCTTTTGAAATAATGTAAATTAACTCATTTTATGTATATTTAGCAAAGTTTTTGTTTCTTTAAAACTTAGTCCTGGGCCGGGCGCGGTGGCTCACGCCTATAATCCTAGCATTCTGGGAGGCCGAGGTGGGCGGATTGTTTGAGCTCAGGAGTTCGAGACCAGCCTGAACAAGAGCGAGACCCCGTCTCTACTAAAAAAAAATAAAAAATATATAGAAAAAAAAAAAATCAGCCGGGCACAGTGGCTTGTGCCTGTAGTCCCAGCTACTTGGGAGGCTGAGGCAGTAGGATCACTTGAGCCCAGGAATTTGAGGTTGCTGTGAGCTAGGCTGACACCACAGCACTCACTCTAGCCAGGGCAGCAGAGTGAGACTCTGTCTTAAAAACAAAACAAACAAAAAAAAAACTTAGTCCTAAATGTGCTAGGTAATAAAAACATTTTTTAATAGATAGGTTATATTTAAAGCTTAAAGTTTTGGATTCAGGTAAAATGTCCTCATCCATTTTCTAGGTTCCTAGGTATAGCTCTGTGTGGAATTTATTTTCCTCAAGAGATAGTATCTTAATATTTTTCACTTTGGTATTTTTAGTTAAAGGAAATTTTTTTCCTCCCACTCCCACATGACTTTATAAGCTAGTAGACAATACCATCTCTGTATGCTTTCATGTAACAGTCTCCATTTAAAGATATTAGTTACATTTTTCATCGCTTTTTTTTTTCCGTTGTAGATTCCTATAGGCAATGGAAACTGATCTCAATTCCCAGGACAGAAAGGACCTGGACAAGTTTATTAAATTTTTTGCCCTTAAGGTAATATGTCCATTCTCTTGAGCCTAGAACTGTTAGAAATAACTTCCATGATTCTCCTTTTTGAGAACTCTCTTTGGAAATATAACATAACAGCTTGCAGCTTGCCCATTTTAAGGGATGCTTCTGTCTGTTGTAAACCAAACTGTGAGGTATGGGGGCGGTTTTGGGGGTGTAACTAAAAAGTAGCTTCCAATTTTCCACAGCTACTTGTTCAAAATTTTTCTTTGCAAGGCTGTTTGCAGAAATGTCAAACTGTTATGCCAGGTTATTGGCACTGTGTGTTTGCTTGGGGTGGGAACAAAGACCATGAACTGGACTAGGCAGCATTTTGAGCATCTTTCCCTAAGCTTCAACTAACCCTGAAATGTCCAACTATTATCTGTTGTTCCCGTCCTTGTAAGTGGGGAATTAAAACTGAATTTTGAATGCTTATTTTCCTAAATCTAAAAATCATTTTTACCTGTATCACTTCTTCCTCTCAACCATTGCCATGCTAGAACAATCCATGTAGTTGATTCTACTTGTAAAATTATATGGAAACCTTTTGCCATATGGGCCAAATGATATGAATAATTGTGGAATTTTTGTTTTAAATTTACTGTGGTGACATAAGTCTGTGGCAGTGAATATTTAAACCCACAGTTGGATTTCTTTCTTTATGAACGTCACAGCCACCATGTGCAGCTTTTCTTCTGCCATATGAGAGTATTATAGATTCCAAGCCTCAGACTATAATTCCTCTCATTGGTTGACACTATATCCTCAGGAATGTTTACAATATTATTTTTTGTATATAGTGTTTATTTTGATCTATTATTAAACATTTAAAATTCTTCCCTTTCCTAAAGTATAGTTGTGATTAATTGGCATCTTTTAAACGCTGTATTGAGAGGATTTTAACCCTGGTCAGGAGACAAATCAGTTTGTTAAGACTTCTCATCTTCGTTTGCATTTTTTAGACTGTCCAAGTGATTGTCCAGGCTCGACTTGGTGAAAAGATTTGCACCCGTTCATCTTCATCCCCAACTGGTTCAGATTGGGTAAAATTCCTGTTCTTTGCTAAGGGGTATACTGTGGTGTTTGCCACAGGAATGAGTGTAAAGTTCTCAAGTGCAATAATAAGGATAATTATAGTACTACTAAGTAACATTAAAGTATCTAATCCCATTTGATCTACTTCCTTGGAAAGAACGTTCCTGTCAAATATTAATCCTGAATTTATTTGATTCTTGACTTTCTGCTGTGATAGGTGAAAAGCTTAGTCCTTAGAAGACAAAAAGAATATCTTAGCTAATCTCTGTAATAGGTAACTAGCTTTTTCAACCCAAGATTGGGGCTTTGATGTAGGATTATCTTTTATGGGGAAGCAAGAAGTAAATGAATGTCTTCCTTAATCAGCCAGAGCAATGCCCATATTACCCAACATACTAATTTCCATACTGTTTTCCGTAATGTTCCTTGTGAGTGTTTCATGAAAAAATCCCTTTTGTCTTCTAGTTCAATTTAGCAATCAAAGACATCCCAGAGGTTACACATGAAGCAAAGAAGGCACTGGCAGGGCAGCTGCCTGCTGTCGGAAGATCTATGTGCGTGGAGATCTCACTCAAGACTTCTGAGGTACTGTTATGGCCAGGATGGTGTCTTAACCTAGTGCTCAAGGTTCTTCACATTCTAAGTCCAACTCACTTCTTAGCATAATTCTTGTTCCTTCCCTCTCTGAACTTCTCATCATTCTCTGAAGGGGTTGTGGTTTTTTTAACTTATTATTCCACATGTAATAGGCTGTTCATATGACGTATTTATACTCATCTTTCAAGACTCACGTGCTCTAGAAAATCTCCTGCTTTTAGTGAGAGAGGTAACTGCTCTTTTTATCTAGATGTCTTATGGTGCTTTGATTATATTTCTAGAGTATAACTTGCTGTATTGTAATTTTTAAAAACGTGTTTGTTCACCTTATTCCATGTTTGGATTGAGGCAGATATTGTTACTTTTATGTTTATTAATCTTTTTCCACTAATAGATTGTGAGGCTGTATGGTATAATAAAAGGTAGATGAAGTTTGGAGCTACACACAGCCAAGTTCACATCCCAGCTGAGTGACTTTCTAGCCAAATTAGTTAACCCCACTACCACAACCAAACTAGCACAATACTTCATGGTCTTGCATGGCTATAATATTTTTTCACTTAATCCTTATTTGTAAAGTGCCTAACATAGAATAGGCAATCAACACATGTTATGGGCAATCAACACATGTTCCTGTTTATATTCTAACTGCTTTTTTTTTTTTTTGAGACAGAGTCTCACTCTGTTGCCTGGGCTAGAGTGCTGTAGTGTCATCATAGCTCACAGCAACCTCAAAGACCTGAGCTCAAGTGATCCTCCTGCCTCAGCCTCCCAAGTAGCTGGGACTACCATGCCCAGGCGTGTGCCACTATGCCCAGCGAATTTTTTCTATTTTTTAGTTGTCTGGCTAATTTTCTATTTTTAGTGGAGACAGAGTCTTGCTCTTGCTCAGGCTGGTCTCAAATTCCTGAGCTCAGGCAATCCCACCTCAGCCTCCCAGAGTTCTAGGATTATAGGCATGAGCCACCACACCTGGTCTAACCACTTTTCTTCTTGAAGTCATCAGCCATGCTACGTTTTGTATATCTTTGTAGTTCTTCAAGTTCTATATGAAATGAGGCAGGATATAAATGAATAATCACCTCTGTGTCCTCAGGACCCTGCATAGTGCCTGCAATGGCATACATATAGTAGGCTTTCAAGAATTCTTATTGAATGAATGATATCAATATTTATTCCACCTAAATCCTACTCTAATAAAATAAATCTTCTTGTTCATTTTTATTGAATTGCCAGTTTATACTATGAACTGTTTTCCTTAGTGATCCATAGAGAGTCTAAAAGGAATCTCTAGAAGAACTCTTTTCTCTCCTAAGCATATGTGAAATCTGATTACAATCTGTTCTGATTGTCCTATAGAAACCACATCAACTAGTCTTATCTCCCTAGTATCTAGTTATTTCTTGGGTTTTAGGGAGAAATTTAAAATTAATCATGACATTAAAAAATAACAGTGTAATAGGAAGGATATATATTAAGGATGCATTTTAAAATTTTATCTAGAACAAGTAAAAGTCAGTTCTTATTCCAAAAACTCAGTCTTACTCCCAAATCTAAGAAAATAATCCTCTCCCAACTGATTAGTAAAAAAGTTACTTGTGTTCAAAGATATGTGACTGTCTTTTCCACCAAGTGACACACAGGAGTGTTACAAGGTTGAGGGATTCTAGCTTTAGTCATTTGTTTTTCTTTGCCATCCGCTAGGCTACGTCTGTTCAGAATAACACATAGGGAGGCTGAACAGTTTGGCTACAGATATCAGACAGCTAAAAGATTTTTAAGTAAAGAGCTTGTTAAGGTGACAAGTTTTCCTAAACTGTGGGTGTCACCTAAAAATATCCCCCATAGAATTGGAGGGAAAGGCTCCTTTCCTTCATTTGGAAAGTGTTGGCCTTTCTGAAGAACAGTTTGGAAATACATATCAAAAGTCTTAAAAGCATGTATACTCTTTGACCTAGTAATTCTTTTTTGTGAGACAGGGTCTCTGTTGCCTAGGTTAGTGTGCAGTGGCATCATCATAGCTCACTGCAACCTCGAACTTCACGTGAGCCCCCATGCCCTGCCTTGACCTAGTAATTCTAATTCTGGAAATTTGCTTGAAGAAATTACTTAAGGATGTATACCAAGTTTTAGTGTCAAGGCTGTTTTTCACAATGTTTGTGGTAGTGAAAATTAGAAACAACCTGGATGTCCAAAAATAGAGAGATTGGTTGGATAAAATGATAGTCATATGGTGGAATATTATGCATCCATTCAAATGGCTTAGAATTTTTAATTATAAGAAAAATTCCATGGTTTATTTACTATGGAAAAAAAGCAAGTGATAAAAATACTGTGTATACTGTGATCCCACTTTTATTTAGAAAAGAGTTTGGTTCAATTTTAAGTTGATATCTGTTTTTTTCTTTTTGCTTATTTATACCTTTCAATATTTTTATACTGAATGTGTAGTACTTTGTAATAAAAATAATTTCTAAAAACTGAAGTATTTTTCAATTGTCCTATCTATAGGGAGATTCCATGGAGCTGGAAATATGGTGTCTTGAAATGAACGAAAAGTAAGTGCTCTGTCTTAGGGTCCTTGATTGTGGTTGCTGAGGATAGATAAAGCAGATGACATCATGCGAAAAGGAGGCCTTTGTGTTCAGGGTCATGGAGGGCATTCTGACCGCTTACCAAAGCCAGTAGGTCTTTGCTAGAATTTGCTTCATGCTTGGCTTCCAGCCTAGGCACAGAGATGACCTTCGGAGGGAGCGTCAGTCCAGAGAGACTCAGACACCGCAGGGAAAGGAGCAGCATAGAAAGCTGAAAAGGATTTGTTGTTTTCCCAGAGTACAGATAGTTCTCTGATTAAATCCCTTGGGAACTCTTGTAACATGACTACTCTATTTTGTCTGTTTTCTGTATGGCAGCCATCCAATAAGATTTCCCCTCACTGCTCCTTTTTACAGACTGTGTTGGTCATGGATTGGAAATGCATGTTATTTCCCTCCCCCATTTTCTTCTTTCAAGGCAGATTAGCTTACCTCCTACCTGAAGCTTCTGTTTTCAAGAAGAGTATATAGGAAAATTGAGGAAATATCAACACATCAAAAGAAAAATCTTAGTGATAAGTATGTGTGGTGCGGGCATTATTTTTCTTTCTTAAATAAAAAGCAATTGCCAGGTTATGGTCCAAAATTTTAGTACCAAACAGACTTTCCTCCAGATTTCATGTTAGATTATAGAGACAGCTCATAAGATAGTACATTGATATTATGTTTGCACCTTCAGTATGTATAATTTATTGTTTTCAAATGTGCTACTTTATTTCTTAGAAAGGTAACTACTTCAAAGCCAGAAAAAAATATATTGAGTGCCTTTTGGTGCTCATCTGCCTGTGTCTAGTGCATGAGAATGTAAAACTTTGGCTCACTTCAACAATCTATTGATAAACCGACAACTCTAATTACATCTTTAGTTCAGAATATGTTTTAATAATAAATTTTGTTTTGCGTAGTTCCAGTACTTAAAAGGAGAATGCTGACTGTGTCTGTGTGCTCCTCAGGTGTGATAAAGAAATCAAAGTGTCCTACACGGTGTACAACAGACTGTCATTGCTGCTGAAATCTCTCCTTGCTATAACTAGGGTGACACCAGCCTACAGACTCTCCAGAAAACAAGGGCATGAATATGTCATATTATACAGGTAAACAGCATAGATGCTCACTCATCAGCCTCATCACTTTGCACATTGTCCGACTGGGACTCAGGTGCTGTGATTGTGTTTTGGACAGATGGTTGGTTGGATTGTTGATACTATAGCTTTAATATGATCACTATCTTGCTTCCCTTATGAACCTCACCCTTCCAAAGCCACCAGGTTCACTTCCTTTTGTCTCTGCAGTCATGATTTCCATGGAATGGATTTTGAGGTACTACTGATATACATGTCAGAGCTGGAAAAGGAACTTTAAGACTTTGAAAAACGGGCTATCCTGGGAAGATTGCACAGTCTTCTGTATTCCAGGGTTAAATTAAAACCTTTTCTCTAACAAACTGCTAATTCAGTTTTTTAATTAGATATAAAGAACTGGTCAACAGTTTCAGTATTTTCCTTGGAGAAGTTCACCTGAACACATTTATTGAGTGTCTTTTTAGTGCAGGTGTTGTGCTAGGTGCGTAGAAGAACTATAAAGGGGCCCTGCATTAGGGGTATTTCTAATCTAATGGGGGAAACAGTTTGATGCATGATTATAATAAAAAGCAGGATTTGACAACTATATAGCAGAATCGGGAAAAAGGTATTGAGAGAACTCAGAGGATGGAAAAGTTTGTTCTGGGTGGTGGAAACAGGATAGGCCTCATGGCAAAAGTAGCATTTGAGCTAGAACATGAAACAAAGAGAATTTCAGGTGGTAAAGGTGAGGGAGAATAATCATTTCAGATGGAAAGTACAAAGTTGGCAAGGCACAGAAATAAGGGGCAGGGTAAGAGCTGTACTCAAATTGTCAAATGGACCAGAATGGTGGAATAGAGGGTATGAATGTAAGAAAGTGGAGAGTAGAGCCTGGAAAACCAGGGGTCCCAAATCATCCAAGACACCTTTCTTTTGTATTAATGATGAGCCATTGGTTTTAGCCTTTGGATTACATGTGTAGAGCTGATTTTGAGAAGAATTAGTATAACAGGATGGAGGGACCACAGAGGAGACACTTGCCTAGTTCTGTTGAAACAATGCAATACCCATGAATTGTTATTGTCATCCTTTAACTTTCTTAGCAGTAACCTAGCAGCTTTAACCATGTTTATTTTTCCAAGTCTTTAATAAATTTTTGTTGTCTTCTCTGTAGTCTTCCTAGGTTTCAGGTTGAGTGTTCCATCTGAAAATTACTAGACTTTTATTCAGATATAATAGAAAGATCACTTTCTCTTACTCTGATTTACCTATGCTAAGTCCCCTTCCCTTTGGTTCTTCTATAAAAATAAATAAATAAAATAAGTTTGCTGATCTCTGCATTATAGTGTCTTTTGTGTATCTTATCTATAATTACTTTTCTTTTTTTTTAAGAGACAGGGTCTTGCTTTATCACCCAGGCTGGAGTGCAGTGGCACAATCATAGCTCACTGCAGCCTTGAATTCCTGGCTTCAAGCAATCCTCCTGCCCCAGCCTCCCTAGTAGCTAGGTCAACAGGCCTGCACTACCACACTTGGCTAAATTTTTTTATTTTTGTGTAGAGTTGAGGGTCTCGCTGTGTTGCCCTGGCTAGTCTCTAACTCCTGGCCTCAAGCGATCCTCCTGTGTTGGCCTCCCAAAGTGCTGGGATTACAGGTGTGAACCACCACACCCAACCTATAGTTACTTTTGTGCATATATTTCAAATATTTATGAACATTTCTTTTTTTCTAATACCAGCATATAATCTGTGAGACCTAGGATTCAAATTTGTCCTTATTTCATCCCCTTATACATTGTTGGAGCTTAGTATTTATCGAATAAACCCATGTACATGTTTAATTTTTAACAATATTACTTGAACAAAATAAAAAAATGCATTTTAGGTGTTTTGAATTCAGACTTTTTGCTAACATAGATTGGCCTTTCCACGGAGATTCATGGGAAGCTTCTACTATGTTTATATTTTTATTTTTTCAGAATAATCTTGCCTAGTTAATAATTCTGTGGCAGAAAAGATTTTCTGCTTACTTAACCCATTTACTTTGGAATGACTTGTGACAAGCCTAAAGAGCTCCCCATAACTGAAGACCACTCATCAAAATCTAGTACCTTCCAGTAACAGTTTCAGACCTATTGGCTAATTTTATTTATATATTTTTTGTTTGTCAATAGGTATACTTTTAAAACACATTTGCATGCTCTGCCGGGAGAGGTGTTCATGCAGATGCAGGAAGAAGGGTTTGTTTATTTTGTTTCTAGGTGTTTTGGCTATCGAGTCTCTCAGAGTAAAGTATAAGGTAATGTTTTTTTTCTTTCTTTCCTACAGGATATATTTTGGGGAAGTTCAGCTGAATGGTTTAGGAGAAGGTATGTAACAAGGCTGAAGAACATTAGTAGTGTTAAGAGATCTCCTGACTTCAGAGTTGAGCGTGGTTGCCACCTGTAATCATATGTAGATTTTAATATGTATAATACAAGTAAAGATAAGAATATATGTAGGTGGCCCAGGGAACTGCCAGGGATAACCAGATAATTTTCCCCCAAATTTCAAGAATTCAGTCTTCTTTCTTACTCTTTATATAATAGTTTTCCTAATTTTCTGCAATGCGCATGTTAAATGTTTCTGGTGAACCCCAACAACTTTGAAACATTGAAAGTGAAACCAAGAAATACAGGGAGGCTTTGTTGGAAGTGTCACCTGCAAGGCCCTGTCTCTTCTCTGTTCTTAGTTGTGGAGTAATAGCTTGGGTGAAGTGTCTTTACTTCATAAATTGAGGTGTTTATGTAACAGATTCCTAGTGCTCCTTCACTGTCTTGTTTGGCATGTGACATATCTGGGCAGGGCTGGTTAGAATTTCTGAGGCTTTAGAACTAACAATTATTTTCTCTTTGAAGATAGTTTTATCTGGAAATAGAATGCTATTTCCCCAATGCTATTGAGCCAGTATTAGCTCAACGTAGAATAAATTGAAAAGGAAAATATGTATGTACACACACATATACATGAGATTGAGGCTGCTTCAATGTTAAATGGATAATGCCAGAGATTATACAATAGGATGAGTGATTCAAGGAAAGACAAGACTAGGGGCAGTGTCAATTTTCTCTGCAAAAAACCTAATAATTTCTCTCTTCTAGGCTTCCAGACAGTTCGTGTTGGGACAGTGGGCACCCCTGTGGGCACCATCACTCTTTCTTGTGCTTATAGAATTAACTTGGCATTCATGTCTACCAGGTGAGGAAGGGTCCTGGCATCCAAAAGAACATCTTAAAAAGATGTTAAAGTGTTTTTCTCCCTAAACTTGAAGACTAAGCCTACAGTTAAGTGTTGCCGAAAACAGCCCCTTCAGAAGAATAAAATTAAGAAAGAAAGAGCACAGTTGCCAGATTGGAGAATTTGTATGTCCCAGAGCCAGCCCGTCTGGAATGTAGAGTTGGTGGTCTGTATTTAGGGATTGTAGTGGCTGAGGCTCTGGTAGTGCCTGCCAACACATAAGGTGAGGGGCTCTCTAAGGACTTCAGAGGGGCCGGAAAGACATTCTAACAAATACTGCAATCTGCTTATTGCATTTCAGGCAATTTGAGAGGACCCCACCTATCATGGGGATTATTATTGATCACTTTGTGGACCATCCCTATCCCAGCTCCTCTCCCATGCACCCCTGCAATTACAGGTGAGGAATGTGAAAAGGTGCTCTCCCAAACTGTAGCTAGGCAAAAAGCATCCATCCCGCACAGGTGCATAGAGCACCGTTATCAGCACTCACTCACCAATGGGCAGGGGGACGCTGAGACCTCACGGGGAGAGAAATCAAATGGCTAGTTTCCCTTCTTGCTGCTGCCTGTTAGGTACATCAAGACTTGAGGTATGTCTCAGAAAATATGGGGGCAGTTTAGATCTTGATGGTAGTGATATGAATTCTCAGTAGCAAATTACATAGAAACTGTAAGACTGGCAATGATGGCCGGGTGCGGTGGCTCACGCCTGTAATCCTAGCACTCTGGGAGGCCGAGGCGGGCGGATTGCTTGATGCCAGGAGTTCTAGACCAGCCTGAGCAAGAGCGAGACCCCGTCTCTACTAAAAATAGAAAAGAAACTAATCAGACAACTAAAAATATATAGAAAAAATTAGCCGGGCATGGTGGCTCATGCCTGTAGTCCCAGCTACTCGGGAGGCTGAGGCAGGAGGATCGCTTGAGCCCAGGAGTCTGAGGTTGCTGTGAGCTACGCTGACGCCACGGCACTCTAGCCAGGGCAACAGAGTGAGACTCTCTCGAAAAAAAAAAAAAAAAAAGAGTGGCAATGATTTGTGAAATGTCCTTGGCATAATTGAATGGTTTTCAGGTCGCCATCTGGCACAATTATATGTCAGAATAAAATGTCTCCAGGTTTAGATCCCAGAAAACAGAATTCTCAGGCCAGGGCCAGTGGTGCCTGAGTCCCAGCTACTCAGGAGGCCAAGGTTGACAGGATTGCTTGAGCCTCGCAGTCCGAGGTTGCAGTGAGCTATGATCGCACCATTGCACTCCAGCCTGGGCAACAAGGAAGGATCCTGTCTCTAAAAAAGAGAAAATTTTAAATAAAAACAAAAAAAGGTAAACAATTCTCTAGACGTCAGAATAGATGTGTATCAGGAAGGGTACTACCTTTAAGTGATGGACAGCTTGTGAGATTGGATAGATTTGTTTTTAAGGTTTAGTTATTTGTTTCATTGAGTATCTATTACTGATAATTCTTTGAAGACCCAGGTCCAGCCCCCAACACCAGCCTGGCTTAAGAAAATACTCTCTCAAATGATAGGTCAAGGCCAGGCGCGATGGCTCATGCCTGTAATCCTAGCACTCTTGGAGGCCAAGGCGGGAGGATCGTTTGAGGTCAGCAGTCGAGACCAGCCTGAGCAAGAGTCAGACCCCGTCTCTACTAAAAATAGAAAGAAATTAGCCGGACAACTAAAAATCTATATAGAAAAAGTTAGCTGGACATGGTGGCACATGTCTGTAGTCCCAGCTACTCGGGAGGCTGAGGCAGAAGGATCACTTGAGCCCAGGAGTTTAAGGTTGCCGTGAGCTAGCCTGATGCCACGGCACTCTAGCCTGGGCAACAGAGTGAGACTCTGTCTCAAAAAAAAAAAGATAGGTCAGGTAAGATGTTTGAGGCTTTTAAAAAAAGTCATTTTCAAACCTCTAGATGCTGCTGTCTAGAAATGTTTGAAATTATCAAGCACTCAACATGGCTCTCTTGCCAATGTGAACTCTGCCTGAAATAGTTCTTAGCACAACTGCCATCCTCATCTAGCCACCCCTTGTATCTTGTCTGAAATTGACCGCCACCACCATGAAATTTGGTATTTCTTTCCCCTCACTTTAGAACTGCTGGTGAGGACACTGGAGTAACATATCCATCTGCGGAAGACTCTCAGGAAGTATGCACCACTTCTTTTTCCACTTCTCCTCCGTCACAGGTAAGGGGGAACAGATGCTCGAGTGGTGGTAGTTTTTTGGAATATATAGGCCTCATGAAATGGTGTCCAAATTTAGCTATAGTCCTTTTCGTTCGTAGTGGTGATTGTTTCAAGGGGATTATTTTGAAGGATAAAAAAGAGTCTTCTTATCGAGCAGATAATATTGCAGTGTAGACTGCAACCATTCCTTCTATTTTGAGACAGAGTTTCACTTGGTTGCCTGAACTAGAGTGCAGTGGTATCATCATAGCTCACTGCAACCTCACACTCCTGGGCTCAACCAATCCTCCTGCCTCAGCCTCTCAGGTAGCTGGGACTGCAGGCACCTGCCATGATGCAAGGCTAATTTTTCTATTTTTTTTTTTTTCGGTAGAGTCCATGTCTCCCTCTTGCACAGGCTGGTCTCGAACTCCTGAGCTCAAGAGATCCTCCCGCTTCAGCCTCCCAGAGTGCTAGGCTTACAGGTGTGAGCCACCGCACCCAGCCTCTACTATAACCATTCTTAACCTGCAGGATTACATTTAGCCTTTACCTTCCTGGTAGTGTCTTAAAATTCCCTAGAAAATCAGTCACAGAATTTCAAATATATTCTAACGCCAAGGAGGTACTTTAGCCTACACTTGTTTATTTTGTAGCTACTTCTTTTTTGAAGTGGTAAATTTGTTTCCTAATAATGGAAGGAGCCCAAAAAGAGCCAATAGTTACTTAGTGAAAAATGCCACTGAGAATCCAGTAGTGCAGCTTTTCTTAAT